CGCTACGATCGCTTTGTGGTAGGGGACCCTGACCCCGACCCTGAAACGGGAAATAGTAAGTGAACACCCCAACGCTACAGGTCTTGTCGTGAGTTAAAAGTGAACACCCCAACTCTCCAGGTCTTGTCGAGAGTTGAAGGTGAACACCCCAATTCTCCAGGTCTTGACGTGAGTTAAAAGTGAACACCCTAACTCTCCAGGTCTTGTCGTGAGTTAAAGGTCAACACCCCAACTCTGCAGGTCTTGTTGTGAGGTGAAGGTGAACACCCGAAATCTCAAGGTCTTGTCGTGAGTTAAAGTTCGACACCCCAACTCTCCAGGTCTTCTCGTGAGTTAAAGGTGAACACCCCAACGCTACAGGTCTTGTCGTGAGTTAAAAGTGAACACCCCAACTCTCCAGGTCTCGTCGAGAGTTGAAGGTGAACACCCCAACTCTCCAGGTCTTGACGTGAGTTAAAAGTGAACACCCTAACTCTCCAGGTCTTGTCGTGAGTTAAAAGGTCAACACCCCAACTCTGCAGGTCTTGTTGTGAGGTGAAGGTGAACACCCGAAATCTCCAGGTCTTTTCGTGAGTTAAAGTTCGACACCCCAACTCTCCAGGTCTTCTCGTGAGTTAAAGGTGAACACCCCAACGCTACAGGTCTTGTCGTGAGTTAAAAGTGAACACCCCAACTCTCCAGGTCTTGTCGAGAGTTGAAGGTGAACACCCCAATTCTCCAGGTCTTGACGTGAGTTAAAAGTGAACACCCTAACTCTCCAGGTCTTGTCGTGAGTTAAAGGTCAACACCCCAACTCTGCAGGTCTTGTTGTGAGGTAAAGGTGAACACCCGAAATCTCCAGGTCTTATCGTGAGTTAAAGTTCGACACCCCAACTCTCCAGGTCTTCTCGTGAGTTAAAGGTGAACACCCCAACGCTACAGGTCTTGTCGTGAGTTAAAAGTGAACACCCTAACTCTCCAGGTCTTGTCGTGAGTTAAAGGTGAACACCCCAACGCTACAGGTCTTGTCGTGAGTTAAAAGTGAACACCCCAACTCTCCAGGTCTTGTCGAGAGTTGAAGGTGAACACCCCAACTCTCCAGGTCTTGACGTGAGTTAAAAGTGAACACCCTAACTCTCCAGGTCTTGTCGTGAGTTAAAGGTCAACACCTCAACTCTGCAGGTCTTGTTGTGAGGTGAAGGTGAACACCCCAACTCTCCGGGTCTTGTCGTGAGTTAAAGGTGAACACTTCAGGTCTTGTCGTGAGTTAAAGGTGAACACCCCAACTCTCCAGGTCTTGTCGTGAGTTAAAGTTCGACACCCCAACTCTCCAGGTCTTGTCGGGAGTTAAAGGTGAACACCCCAACTCTCCAGGTCTTGATGTGAGTTGAAGGTGAACACCCCAACTCTCAAGGTATTGTCGTGAGTTAAAGGTGAACACCCCAACTCTTCAGGTCTTGTGAGTTAAAGGTGAACACCACAACTCTGCAGGTCTTGTCGTGAGTTAAAAGTGAACACCCCAACTCTCCAGGTCTTGGCGTGTGTTAAAGGTGAACACCCGAACTCTGCAGGTCTTGTCGTGAGTTGAAGGTGAACACCCCAACTCTCCAGGTCTTGTCGTGAGTTAAAAGTGACTAGCTCAACTCTCCAGGTCTTCTCGTGAGTTAAAAGTGAAAACCCCAACTCTCCAGGTCTTGTGGTGAGTTGAAGGTGAAAAACCCCAACTCTCCATATCTTGTCGTCAGTAAAAGGCGAACACCCCAACTCTCAAGGTCTTGTCGTGAGTTAAAGGTGAACAACCCAACTCTCCAGGTCTTGTCGTGAGTTAAAAGTGAAAACCCCAACTCTCCAGGTCTTGTTGTGAGTTAAAGGTAAACACCCCAACTCTGCAGGTCTTGTCGTGAGGTGAAAGTGAACACCCCAACTCTTGTAATGAGCTAAAGGTGAACACCTCAACTCTGCAGGTCTTGTCGTGAGTTGAAGGTGAACACCCCAACTCTCCAGGTCTTCTCGTGAGTTAAAAGTGAAAACCACAGCTCTCCAGGTCTTGTCGAGTGTTGAAGGTGAACACCCCAACTCTTCAGGTCTTGTCGTGAGTTAAAAGTAAACACCCCAACTCTCCAGGTCTTCTCGTGAGTTAAAGGTGAACACCCCAACTCTCCAGGTCTTGTCGTGAGTTAAAGGTGAACACCCCAACTCTGCAGGTCTTGGCGTGAGTTGAAGGTGAACACCCCAACTCTCCAGGTCTTGTCGTGAGTTAAAGGTGAACACCCCAACTCTCCAGGTCTTCTCGTGAGTTAAAGGTGAACACCCCAACTCTCCAGGTCTTGTCGTGAGTTAAAGGTGAACACCCCAACTCTCCAGGTCTTGTCGTGAGTTGAAGGTGAACACCCCAACTCTCTAGCTCTTGTCGTGAGAGACGACCGGCTAAATTAGATTGGTTGTCAGGCTCAGTGACTTGGTTGACTGCCTGTCATCGTAGCCCGGCGTTGTGGGACGTTGGTTATTATGAATTACTGGCCTGCTGTAGCGTAAATAATGGACACACAAAACATAGAACGTTTTTGTTTGTTTTGTTTGTTGTTTATCAGCGCACTCAGCAATAGTCCAGCTATATGACGGCTGTCCGTAATAATCGAGTCTGGACCAGACAATCCAGTGATTAACATCATGAGCATCGATCCGCGCAATTGAGATACGATGACATGCACCAACAAAGTCAGCGAGCCTGACCACCCGATCCCGTTAGCCTCTTATGACAAGCGTAGTCGCCATTTACGGCAAGCATGGGTTGCTGAAGACCCATTATATCCCGGATCTTCACGGGTCTGGTGTCTACCTGATGTCAAACACTGGGTCTGCACTGCTTCACTCCATGGTACGTGTTGTAGTAGGTCTCATCGTGTCATGATGACGACGTATCAATGTGGAAGGAGGCTGGCGGAGTTTACGTCATTCAGAACAGTCCTCCAAAATATATATTACCATTATAAGTTGTCAACAGATCTAGAGGGGCATATGGTGTGATATACCCTGTGTGTGCGCCTATGTCCCCTAGCCGTCAGGCTCACACACAGGGTACATCACACCATATAACCCGAGAACGAATGATCTTACAGACATTCATTCAAGCAGGACCTTATATGTCCGCATTTTCACTTAGTTTGCAAACCTCGTAGCAGACGAGGGCGCAAACGAACCGAGTTACTTCCCTTTACCCCATACGCCTGCTAAACATCAGTTAATTTCAACTCATCGATACTTATTCGATATATGCAGGTTACCTATGACGTGTTCCGATTGATTTCTTTGCAGGCTACATGAGTGGGCTATATATAAAATAATTGCCCTCTCCTTAACCAATCAGAGGGTAGTATTTTAATGTAAGGTGGGATCCAAACATATGTCGCTTATACCTTAGGAAAGTTAGTCTCGATGTCATATAACCGGTCTTTGATTCAGTTATAATACAAACAGCATTCGCATCTTCATCCCTAAATAAAAACCAATTGAGTTTGTTTTAAAGCCGCATCGAACGGCATTTAAATGGTATTTCAGATTGATGTGGGAGAAAAACCTGAGGTGATGCAGGTCTTAGACATTTACCACTTCGGTGAGACTCATGAGCACAGGTAAAGTGCTGACAAATCTAGAAACATAATTCAGGTCGGACCGCGATTCGAACCCACAAGGTTTTCAGCACGCTTAGGTGCGCAACTGTCTGAAGACGACTTGGCTCCAATTACACAATGTCTGAAGACGACTCGGCTCCCATTACACAATGTCTAATGACGACTCGGCTCCCATTACACAATGTCTGAAGACGACTTGGCTCCAATTACACAATGTCTGAAGACGACTCGGCTCCAATTACACAATGTCTAATGACGACTCGGCTCCCATTACACAATGTCTAATGACGACTTGGCTCCCATTACACAATGTCTGAAGACGACTTGGCCCCCATTACACAATGTCTGAAGACGACTCGGCTCCCATTACACAATGTCTGAAGACGACTCGGCTCCCATTACACAATGTCTAATGACGACTCTGCTCCCATTACACAATGTCTGAAGACGACTTGGCCCCCATTACACAATGTCTAATGACGACTCGGCTCCCATTACACAATGTCTGAAGACGACTTGGCTCCCATTACACAATGTCTGAAGACGACTCGGCTCCCATTACACAATGTCTAATGACGACTCGGCTCCCATTACACAATGTCTGAAGACGACTTGGCTCCCATTACACAATGTCTGAAGACGACTCGGCTCCCATTACACAATGTCTGAAGACGACTTGGCTCCCATTACACAATGTATGAAGACGACTCGGCTCCCATTACACAATGTCTAATGACGACTGGGCTCCCATTACACAATGTCTGAAGACGACTTGGCTCCCATTACACAATGTCTGAAGACGACTTGGCTCCCATTACACAATGTCCAATTTACGACTCGGCTCCCATTACACAATGTCTGAAGACGACTTGGCTCCCATTACACAATGTCTGAAGACGACTCGGCTCCCATTACACAATGTCTGAAGACGACTCGGCTCCCATTACACAATGTCTGTAGACGACTTTGCTCTCATTACACAATGTCTGAAGACGACTTGGCCCCCATTACACAACGTCTGAAGACGACTCGGCCCCCATTACTCAACGTCTGAAGACGACTTGGCTCCCATCACACAATGTCTGAAGACGACTTTGCTCCCATTACACAATGTCTGAAGACGACTTGGCTCCAATTACACAATGTCTGAAGACGACTTGGCTCCCATTACACAATGTCTGAAGACGACTTGGCTCCCATTACACAATGTCTGAAGACGACTTGGCTCCCATTACACAATGTCTAAAGACGACTCTCCTCCCATTACACAATGTCTAAAGACGACTTGGCTCCCATTACACAATGTCTGAAGACGACTTGGCTCCCATTACACAATGTCTGAAGACGACTTGGCTCCCATTACACAATGTCTGAAGACGACTTGCACTTTCAAAACACGAACAACAGGTCCTAGCAAAACCGATGAAACATCGTATATAAGGATTATGACTTATGCCTAACAGCGAGTCGTTAACAGATGATAGCTTAACAATCATAGCATGCAAAATGAAACAAAATACATTTTTCTATTTCGGTTGGAACACTAGCAACGTTTTCTTGTCACGGGCCGTTAATTTATATGGAGTGTGGGATGTGGTTTCCCTTTGACAGAAAACAACCCATGAAATACATAGCGTCTAATGGAGCGAGCACCTTGTCGATCATATAGCTGGATGGCATGCTGTACTAAAATGATTTAGTCCATGAATGACTATTCCATCACGAATGATAAATGAAAAAGACTGAAGTTTACTCATCAGTGGTGTATAAAAAATATTTAAAATATATATCGGTTTGGTCTCAGGGGACCACTTAACCGTTGAGGGACTTCCTATGTGTACGTGCGTGCGTGCGTGCGTGCGTGCGTGCGTGCGTGCGTGCGTGCGTGCGTGTTTGTTTCTTTGTTATGATCAGGATTTAGCCAGGAATTCGTCTTCGATTGTGCACCATACTACACGTACATATCCCACTTCTTTGATTCAGTCCACTGGGTGGGTGGGGTAGCCTAGGCCTAGTGGGTAAAGCGTTCGCTCGTCACGCCGAAGACCCGGCTTCGATTCCCGACATTGGTACAATGTGTAAAGCCCATTCTGGTGTCCCCAGCCGTGATATCGCTGGAATATTGCTAAAAGCGTCATAAAACCATACTCACTCACTTACTCAGGACAGGACACTAATGATCTTAAATTACATTTTAAGCATCATTTGACATTTTTTGTAACTAACTGTTTGTAACTCAGTTAAATACCAGATTATGAAGATGTCGATGACGTTTAGCGGTATCGCATTCAGTTGTGCGATGAAGACGACGGTGACGACTCGAAAGATGGCGGTGCCGTCCATGTTGATGGTGACCCCTATCGGCAGAACAAAGCGGCAGATGGTCCGGTCAATCTTCAAGTTGTCTTCACAGCAACGGACGGTCACCGGAAGTGTGGCAGCGCTGTTATAAACAATGTTAATCATGAATATACAATGCCGTTTAGAAAGGTTCAAATGTAAAGTGTGAGTGAGTGAGCTATATTAAACGCCGCTTTTAACAGTATTCCAGTTATATACCGACGTGTCAGCTTAATGTGGGAGGAAAGCCCGAAGTGATGCAGGTCTCAGACGTTTACCACTTCGGTGAAACACCCGAGCACCGGTATGGTGCTGACAAACCTAGAAACAATCGGGGCGAACCGGAATTCGAACCCACATTCATAGGTATCTGGCGTGCCTAAGAGACGCAACTCTTCACAGCCAATTGCGGCGCCTTAAACGACTTTGCCACCAGTTCCCCCTCTAACGTAAAGAGTGTAAAGCGGTAGACAGGGAGAGAGCCGTTGGAATGGCCAAACAGGGAGCGACGCACGCCGTCCACGGGTGACCACGTCCATTCAAGAACGCAACATCGGGACAATTCACCTCCGAAACCGCTTCGGCACGGCGACGTTAACTGCGGCGACGGCACTGCGGCACAGGGTCAGTCGACAAACCGTGTACAGGAGATTACGAGCCCATGGTATCAGAGCACATTGACCCTACCAAGGAATGACACCTAAACATCGCCTCGAGAGACTGATATGGGTCAGGAGACTTCGACGTTGGCAACTGCGTGACTGGACGTTATGTTCTCCGATGAGAGCAGAGTTTATCTCGATGGTCAGCAATCTGCGGTGACTTGGAAACCAGGCTCGTGGTTATTCATGGTAACATGAATGCACAGCGATATCGAGATTTAGTTTGCGGAGCCATTCATCTAGCAACAGCCCCGTGGGATCATTTTCCAGCCCGACAATGCGGCGCCGCACACGGCATGGTTGACGCAGAACTCTCTGAACAACGCGAACATTCAGGTTTCACCATGGCCGTCATGCCCGCCGGACATTAACCCTGTTGAATTGGAACAATGCCTCCTTGCCGAATGGCAACGCCGTGCCAAGTTACACTTATCAGAGGGGTACTCAAAGTACGTGATCTAGACAACCAAACCTTCGAGGTTGAAACCACTGACTTTGAGTGCTCGCGTTTAGGTGCTTCAATACAGCAGTGTGGCTTCGAGTCCCGAATGTGACTTAACCACCCCCCCCCCCCCCCCCCCCCAAAAGGACTAGAATCTGTACTTTACTAAGAAAGTGTTATCCCAACTATAGTGAGTGTGAGTGAGTGAGTTGGGTTTAACGCCGCTTTTTACAGTATTCCAGTTATATCGCGGCGTGTCAGCTTAATGTGGGAGGAAAGCCCGGAGTGATGCAGGTCTCAGACGTTTACCACTTCGGTGAAACCCACGAGCACCGGTATGGTGCTGACAAACCTAGAAACATAATCGGGGCGAACCGGGATTCGAACGCATAATCATAGGTTTCTGGCGTGCCCAAGGGACGCAACCCTGCACAGCGAATCGCGTCGCCTTAGAGGACTGGGCCACCCGTGCCCCCTATCCCAACTATAACATTTGTCATATTTGACCACTTTCTGAATGGCATTGTGCGTTGATATTCTTATAATTACGATGCAAATCAAACCTTGAATTTGTTCCGACTGCAGTGACCAGAGCCTGTAGTATTCCACGAGTGATCCTGTAGGGGTTCCTTCTGGTGAGCGCGAAGTAGATGAGGGGAAGGACGATAGCGGAGTGGACAGCGTACCCGACAAGGTTGGTGACCATATACATGCCAAGCTCACGACCTGTGGTCAGCAAGTCTTCCACAGCTAGGATCTTGGACATTGTGAGGAACAGGCTGCCTATAGGCGAATACCTAGGTAGAGATATTACTCCACTGTGCAAACATGTCCGCTTCAAGTTAGCCATACGAAACACTTACATATAAATGGCTAAAACAAATGAAATATGAAAGAATACATTATAAAATGACCATATTTCACGTATTTCTTAACTATTACTTCAGAAAATCTTATATTATTTCATTTCATGTTAATGTGTTCATGTTTTATTGTCACAGTGTTCTTATTTAGGTCTCTGTGTCTATTTGTTTGTTTGTTTGTTTGTTTGTTTGTTTGTTTGTTGTGTAACGCCGCACTCAGCAATATTCCAGCTATATAATGGCGGTCGGCAAATAATCGAGTCTGGACCAGACAATCAAGTGATTGATATCATGAGCATCTATCTACGCAATTGGGATACGATGACATGCAACTATTTGTGACAAAGCGTCAGCCAGCGACAACACAACCCTCATCTTAGTTGGTTGGTTGTCGGTTGGTTTGTTGTTTAACGTCGCACTCGGCAATATTCCACCTGTATGACGGCGGTCTGTAAATAATCGAGTTTGCACCAGACAATCCAGTGATTAGTATCATTAGCACATTAGCATCGATCCACGCAATTGGGATACGATGACATGCATCAACCAAGTCACCTGAAATGTTATAAAATAAATTACACAAGTAGTGAGAAAACATTTAGTTTTCGACAGACTGCTCTCTTACTGGTTAACATGCCGTGATATAACCGAGATATTGTTCAAAGTGGCGAAAAACTAAACGAATTCCCCAAGTCAGTGTCTGTTTAAAGTAAATGTTCTCTCACCGATTGTGTTCATCCCTGTCACATAAACACTCTTCTGTTCCCAGTGTGCCGGCCTCTGTGGCCTCAGTCCGGTGGTATTGGGGGTTAGTATATCCTCAAAAGAAGCATTTATTCCAGGTCCCTGTACGACATGGGACTTATTCACGACACTTCTGTCCATGTAAACATACTTTGTCCCTGTTTGCTGAATGGCTGCCTGTACGATATTTACCGGGACGACGTTTCTGAAAAGGATTTCCGAGTATTATAACATGTTTCTTGTCTAAGTTAAAGTGTTTCACAAAGTTAAAAATATGAAAGATAATCATTGTTGATACTAAACAGTGTGATACCAATATCAAATACCTATTTGTGAAAAAAGTCATGATTATACGTGGCTTCGACCACGTTAAATACATTTTTTTACAGATTTCAGTGGTAGCCCTACAGTCAGATTTGTTTGTTTGTTATTTAACGCCGCACTCAGCCATATTCCAGTTGTATGACGGCTGACTGTAAATAATCCAGTCTGGACCAAACAATCCAGTGACTGATATCATGAGCATCGATCCACGCAATTGGTTGGTTGGTTGGTTTGTTGTTTAACGCCGCACTCAGCAATATTCCAGCTATATGACGGCGGTCTGTAAATGATCGAGTCTGGACCCAACAATCCAGTGATTGATATCATGAGCATCGATCCAGGCAATTGGAATCGATGACATGTATCAGCCAAGTCAGCCAGCCTGACCACCCGATCCAGTTAGTCATCTCTTACGACAAGCATAGTCGCCTTTTACGGCAAGCATGGGTTGCTGAAGATCTATTGGCCTCAGTAATGTAACATTTGTTACAAACTAGCCAATTAACACTGAGCAATACATTATAATGTCCAGTGAAAAATAACTGTTTGTTTGTTGTTTAACGCCGCACCCACCAATATTCCAGCTATATGACGGTGGTCTGCAAATAATCGAGACTGGACCAGATGATCCAGTGATTGATGTGGAGAGCATCGATCCACGCAATTGGGATACGATGACATGCCTCAACCAAGTCAGCGAGCCTGACCACCCGATCCCGTTAGTCATCTCTTACGATAAGCATAGTCGCCTTTTACGGCAAGCATGGGTTGCTGAAGATCTATTGGCCTCAGTAATGTAACATTTGTTACAAACTAGCCAATTAACACTGAGCAATATATTATAATGTCCAGTGAAAAATAACTGTTTGATTGTTGTTTAACGCCGCACCCACCAATATTCCAGCTATATGACGGTGGTCTGCAAATAATCGAGACTGGACCAGATGATCCAGTGATTGATGTGGAGAGCATCGATCCACGCAATTGGGATACGATGACATGCCTCAACCAAGTCAGCGAGCCTGACCACCCGATCCCGTTAGTCGCCTCTTACGACAAGCATAGTCGCCTTTTACGGCAAGAGTGGGTTGTGAAATAACTGAAAATAATTTCACACATACCCAGGACCCAATGGGCATATTACATATTTGGCAATTACGTTGATATGAAATGAAACCTGAGGAGATCCAGAAAAGCATCCCTGGGGGAGAGATGGGGAGCTGCTCCAGCCTCCTGTGTGGTGGACTGCATCATGTTTCCCCGTCCCGGTCTGATGGCGAGGACGAGGGTGAGGCCGACAACGAGGGCCACGCCGGTGGTGCTGACGTAGTAGGCGAGCGTCACGACACCCATTTTACCAGCTGACTTGCCATCCAGATTTGCGATTCCTTGAACATTAACATCGTTAATAACAAATATGGCCCAGGTCCTTATGCCAACGATTCAAAACACAGGAGTAACAAGCAAGAAATACTCTTATTCCCCGCCAATATGACATGTCCAGTTGTGTGCAATGTATCAGCTCCTGTGAACTATGTTCACTGGAACTTTTTGTAAAGGGCCTAATTTGAGCACTAAAAAAGTTATTACTTGTGTTGTTTTGACATCTGAAGTTTATGATAGAATACGTAACTGTCTACCCTGTGTCTACCGTGTGTCTGCCGTGTGTCTACCGTGTGACTACCGTGTGTCTACCCTGTGTCTTCCGTGCGTCTACCGTGTGTCTTCCGTGTGTCTTCCTTGTGTCTACCGTGTGTCTACCGTGTGTCTTCCGTGTGACTACCGTGTGTCTACCGTGTGTCTTCCGTGTGTCTACAGTGTGTCTTCCGTGTGTCTACCGTGTGTCTACCGTGTGTCTACTGTGTGTCTTCCGTGTGTCTGCCGTGTGTCTACCGTGTGTCTACCGTGTGTCTTCCGTGTGTCTACCGTGTGTCTACCCTGTGTCTGTCGTGTGTCTACCGTTTGTCTTCCGTGTGTCTACCGTGTGTCTACCGTGTATCTTCCGTGTGTCCTTCGTGTGTCTACAGTGTGTCTACCGTGTGTCCTTCGTATGTCTACCGTGTGTCTACAGTGTGTCTACCGCGTGTCTACCGTGTGTCTACCGTGTCTCTACCGTGTGTCTTCCGTATGTCTACCCTATGTCTACCGTGTGTCTGCCGTTAGTGTAACGTGTGTCTGCCGTGTTTCTACCTTGTGTCTGCCGTGTGTGTTCCCTGTGTCTACCGTGTGTCTACCGTGTGTCTTCCGTGTGTCTACCGTGTGTCTACCGTGTGTCTACCGTGTGTCTTCCGTGTGTCTACCGTGTGTCTTCCTTGTGTCTACCGTGTGTTTTCCGTATGTCTACCGTGTGTCTACCCTGTGTCTGCCGTGTGTGTACCGTTTGTCTGCCGTGTGTCTACCCTGTGTCTGCGTGGATGTACCGTGTGTCTGCCGTGTGTCAACCGCGTCTCTACCGTGTGTCTACCGGGTGTCTTCCGTATGTCTACCATGTGTCTACCCTGTGTCTGCCGTGTGTGTACCGTGTGTCTGCCGTGTGTCTACCCTGTGTCTGCCGTGTGTGTACCGTGTGTCTACCATGTGTCTACCCTGTGTCTGCCGTGTGTGTACCGTATGTCTGCACTGTGTCTACCGTGTGTCTTCCGCGTGTCTACCGTGTGTCTAACGTGTGTCTACAATGTGCCTTCCGTGTGTCTACCGTGTGCCTTCCGCGTGTCTACCGTGTGTCTTCCGTGTGTCTACCGTGTGTTTACCCTGTGTCTGCCGTGTGTCTACCGTGTGTCTACCGCCTGTCTTCCGTGTGTCTACCGTATGTCTACCGTGTGTCTTTTGTGTGTCTTTTGTGTGTCTATCGTGTGTCTATCGTGTGTCTTCCGTGTGTCTACCGTGTGTCTACCGTGTGTCTTCCGTGTGTCTGCCGTGTGCCTTGCGTGTGTCTACCGTGTGTCTACCGTGTGTCTTCCGTGTGTCTACCGTGTGTCTACCGTGTGTCTTCCGTGTGTCTACCGTGTGTCTTCCGTGTGTCTACCGTGTGCCTTCCGTGTGTCTACCGTGTGCCTTCCGCGTGTCTACCTTGTGTCTTCCGTGTGTTTACCGTGTGTTTACCGTGTGTTTACCCTGTGTCTGCCGTGTGTCTACCGTGTGTCTACCGTGTGTCTTCCGTGTGTCTACCCTGTGTCTACCGTGTGTCTATCGTGTGTCTACCGTGTGTCTTCCGTGTGTCTACCGTGTGTCTACCGTGTGTCTTCCGTATGTCTACCCTATGTCTACCGTGTGTCTGCCGTTAGTGTACCGTGTGTCTACCGTGTTTCTACCCTGTGTCTGCCGTGTGTGTTCCCTCTGTCTACCGTGTGTCTACCGTGTGTCTTCCGTGTGTCTACCGTGTGTCTTCCTTGTGTCTACCGTGTGTTTTCCGTATGTCTACCGCGTGTCTACCGTGTGTCTACCGTGTGTCTACCGTGTGTCTTCCGTATGTCTACCCTATGTCTACCGTGTGTCTGCCGTTAGTGTACCGTGTGTCTGCCGTGTTTCTACCTTGTGTCTGCCGTGTGTGTTCCCTGTGTCTTCCGTGTGTCTACCGTGTGTCTTCCGTGTGTCTACCGTGTGTCTACCGTGTGTCTACCGTGTGTCTTCCGTGTGTCTACCGTGTGTCTTCCTTGTGTCTACCGTGTGTTTTCCGTATGTCTACCGTGTGTCTACCCTGTGTCTGCCGTGTGTGTACCGTTTGTCTGCCGTGTGTCTACCCTGTGTCTGCGTGGATGCACCGTGTGTCTGCCGTGTGTCAACCGCGTCTCTACCGTGTGTCTACCGGGTGTCTTCCGTATGTCTACCATGTGTCTACCCTGTGTCTGCCGTGTGTGTACCGTGTGTCTGCCGTGTGTCTACCCTGTGTCTGCCGTGTGTGTACCGTGTGTCTACCATGTGTCTACCCTGTGTCTGCCGTGTGTGTACCGTATGTCTGCACTGTGTCTACCGTGTGTCTTCCGCGTGTCTACCGTGTGTCTAACGTGTGTCTACAATGTGCCTTCCGTGTGTCTACCGTGTGCCTTCCGCGTGTCTACCGTGTGTCTTCCGTGTGTCTACCGTGTGTTTACCCTGTGTCTGCCGTGTGTCTACCGTGTGTCTACCGCCTGTCTTCCGTGTGTCTACCGTATGTCTACCGTGTGTCTTTTGTGTGTCTTTTGTGTGTCTACCGTGTGTCTATCGTGTGTCTTCCGTGTGTCTACCGTGTGTCTACCGTGTGTCTTCCGTGTGTCTGCCGTGTGCCTTGCGTGTGTCTACCGTGTGTCTACCGTGTGTCTTCCGTGTGTCTACCGTGTGTCTACCGTGTGTCTTCCGTGTGTCTACCGTGTGTCTTCCGTGTGTCTACCGTGTGCCTTCCGTGTGTCTACCGTGTGCCTTCCGCGTGTCTACCTTGTGTCTTCCGTGTGTTTACCGTGTGTTTACCGTGTGTTTACCCTGTGTCTGCCGTGTGTCTACCGTGTGTCTACCGTGTGTCTTCCGTGTGTCTACCCTGTGTCTACCGTGTGTCTATCGTGTGTCTACCGTGTGTCTTCCGTGTGTCTACCGTGTGTCTACCGTGTGTCTTCCGTATGTCTACCCTATGTCTACCGTGTGTCTGCCGTTAGTGTACCGTGTGTCTACCGTGTTTCTACCCTGTGTCTGCCGTGTGTGTTCCCTCTGTCTACCGTGTGTCTACCGTGTGTCTTCCGTGTGTCTACCGTGTGTCTTCCTTGTGTCTACCGTGTGTTTTCCGTATGTCTACCGTGTGTCTACCGTGTGTCTGCCCTGTGTGTACCGTTTGTCTGCCGTGTGTCTACCCTGTGTCTGCGTGGATGTACCGTGTGTCTGCCGTGTGTCTGCCGTGTCTCTACCTTGTGTCTACCGGGTGTCTTCCGTATGTCTACCATGTGTCTACCCTGTGTCTGCCTTGTGTGTACCGTGTGTCTTCCGTGTGTCTACCGTGTGTCTACCGTGTGTCTTCCGTGTGTCTACCGTGTGTCTTTTCTGTGTCTACCGTGTGTCTGCCGTGTGTCTGCCCTGTGTCTGCCGTGTGTGTACCGTGTTTCTGCCGTGTGTGTACCGTGTGTCTACCGTGTGTCTTCCGTGTGTCCAACGTGTCTCTACCCTGTGTCCACCGTGTGTCTATCCTGTTTCTGCCGTGTGTCTACCCTGTGTCTACCCTGTGTCTTCGGTGTGTCTAACGTGTGTCTTCCGTGTGTCTACCGTGTGTCTTCCGTGTGTCTGCCGTGTGTCTACCGTCTATCTACCGTGTGTCTACCGTGTGTCTTCCGTGTGTCTTCCGTGTCTACCGTGTGTCTACCGTGTGTCTTCCGTGTGTCTACCGTGTGTCTACCGTGTGTCTTCCGTGTGTCTACCATGTGTCTCTCCCTGTGTCTGCCGTGTGTCTACCGTGTGTCTACCGTGTGTCTTCCGTGTGTCTACCGTGTGTTTTCGTGTGTCTACCGTGTGTCTACCGTGTGTCTACCGTCTGTTTACCCTGTGTCTGCCGTGTGCTTACCGTGTGTCTACCGTGTGTCTTCCGTGTGTTTACCGTGTGTCTTCAGTGTGTCTACCGTGTGTCTTCCGTGTGTCTACTGTGTGTCTACCGTGTGTCTTCCGTGTGTCTACCGTGTGCCTTCCGTGTGTCTTCCGCGTGTCTACCTTGTGTCTTCCGTGTGTCTACCGTGTGTTTACCCTGTGTCTGCATTGTGTCTACCGTGTGTCTACCGTGTGTCTACCGTGTGTCTTCCGTGTGTCTACCGTGTGTCTACCGTGTGTCTACCGTGTGTCTTCCGTGTGTCTACCGTGTGTCTTCAGTGTGTCTACCGTGTGTCTTCCGTGTGTCTACCGTGTGTCTACCGTGTGTCTTCCGTGTGTCTACCGTGTGCATTCCGTGTGTCTTCCGCGTGTCTACCTTGTGTCTTCCGTGTGTCTACCGTGTGTTTACCCTGTGTCTGCATTGTGTCTACCGTGTGTCTACCGTGTGTCTTCCGTGTGTCTACCGTGTGTCAACCGTGTGTCTACCGTGTGTCTTCCGTGTGTCTACCGTGTGTCTACCGTGTGTCCTCAGTATGTCTACCGTGTGTCTACCCTGTGTCTGCCGTGTGTGTACCATCTGTCTGCCGTGTGTCTACCCTATGTCTGCCGTGTGTGTACTGTGTGTCTGTCGTATGTCTAACGTGTGTCTACCCTGTGTCTTCCGTGTGTCTACCGTGTGTCTACCGTGTGTCTTCCGTGTGTCTACCGTGTGCCTTCCGTGTGTCTTCCGCGTGTCTACCTTGTGTCTTCCGTGTGTCTACCGTGTGTTTACCCTGTGTCTGCATTGTGTTTTCCGTGTGTCTACCGTGTGTCTT